AAAAATCCTTTTCCTTATTGTCACTTCGCTTTCTAGAGTCCGACTCTTAACACAAAGGAGCATAGAAATACAGATTGGAGTTGATTGATTGGTCATCTATGGGAGGACATAAATATGTGACTTCTCTTCATGCTTGGAAGATGGTTGCCTCCACATCCACACTTCCTGAGTATTTGCACTAGGAAGAATGACTCTCCTCAGACCAGATGAGTAGTTTAACTTTCTTTCCCTTGGGTTCAGAGAATTCAGTGCTGACCAGATATGCTGCGTACTGCTGACTAGGGAGATTTTAGTGCACTATGGACAAGGTGGTGGATGCATGACTTATAGGTGACAAGAGATTATTGACCAGGGTGATGGACACAAGCCCATCAAGTGAGGAGAGTACTGCTGCCCAGGGATCAGGCACTGTGGACAGCAGAAGGAAGTATTTTTTTTTTTTTTTTTTTGGTCAGAGGGATAGATGCACTGCTTTCCATAGTGGCAGTGCACTGCTAACAGATATGTGTGAGAACTGATTTCCTGGAGACTCTCTGAGAGACACCTGATATGGAGGGCAGTATCAGTTGAGTGCCTCCAAATGCAGAATGTATTACTCAGGAAAATGTAGAGAAATACTGGACAGAAAATGTAGCTTATTTGTGCTTTATGGAAACACAAACTGTTGGTAGTCCATCTGATATTAGAACCCAGCTTTTCAGTTCTTTAATGCCCCTGTTGAAATATAAAACCAAACTATTTTACAAAAGAAGAATGATTTTTTTTTTTTTTTTACTACCAAAGTAAATTCATTAAATATGTGATCAGGAGAATGTGCCCACTGGTCTCACAGCTTCTAACATATTTCCTTTGCAATCTTTCATTTGGTAAACATCTATTTAATTTAACTAGCTTTATTTGATAAAATACTTCTCAATGACAATATACTAATGGCATTTTTTTTTCTATTGGAATACGGTATTAAAGGATAGTCTCTGCTCTTGAATCAGATGCAGTTTAATCTATACACCTTTGTCTGCACAATGAAAGTGTCAAAATATACCATGAAAAAACAGCTTGTATCTCAAAATTTGGTCTAATTGGAGCTGCCTTGAGTAATGAAAAAAAAATTGATTTCTTAAAATTGCATATAATAGTATAGACCGTAAAGTGTAAAATATGCAATACTTTTGTTTTTCACATTAAAGCTGTTCTTATATTGAGGGTCTCTTACAGAGTGCACGTGCACAAAGCATGGCATATGCTTTGGCATCACCTCTGGTCTCAGTAGAGGCTGCAATGCCACCTGTGCTTTGAGCCACTCTGCCCTTGAAGCACTCCACTTCAATGCTATGCCATTTGTGTCACTTCTATGATGCAGCTGTATGAGGTACCTCTGTGATTTGGCTTAGCGCTGGCATATATGCAGCCCGGAGGTGCTTGTTTTGGACTTTGACTCAAGAAACTATGTTCCACCAGTGGAGGACACAGGCTAGTGGACAGTGTTTTAGTTCTTATTTCTTTTGTCAGAAATGTAAATGTGACCTGTTCACTTCATAGAAGTATCTGAAGGTCCTGACATCAGTTAACCAACTTGCTAAAGTAAGTACTCTTTGCTTTTCATCTTTACTTACTTCAACTTTCTTGGTACCTCACTATTGCTCTCTGGGATATTTTCTCCAAATAAACTACCAGTATTCAAGTCCTTTTGTCAGGCTGTTTTCAAAGGGGAAATGGCAAAATCATGCATCTAAAAAGGATGTACTGAGAAAATAACACCATAGAAATTTAAAAGTGTTTTCTGACTGAAACATTGTAATCACAAAATAAATGTTATATTGAATTGAGACACAAGTGAAACAAATAGATACCTTTAGAAAAATGGCAAAATACTTAATGAAATACATAAATTAAATATAAGAGTATAGTGCTGAGCATTTTGTAAGAGTTGATAACAACTACTTTGAAAGTTTAGAAAATGAATGATATTTTAGACTTGATTTAAAAAAAAACACACATGTGTAAGTATGCATCTCTGCTTTACCTACTCCAAAATATAAATTCAGAGAACCAGCAATATTTAAATGAGGTAAATATTTTTAATTAAAACTAAGAAACATCCAGTAAAAATAAAGAAGGGGGTGAGAAACATGAATAGACTACTCATGTAAGAAAAGACACTAATTATTAATCAGCATATGTAAACTATAATTTCAAAATATTACAATAGATATGCAAATTAAAGAAATGAGAGAAGATTTGTATCTATGAATGTAACAAAATTTTAGATGCATAGTGTTGAACACTCTATGCTGTTTAGAATATAATGAAACTTTCTTCTGCTAATGCCATTACTGCTATCGACAATGCTTATCCACTTTCAGGTATTATACTTGTGAAATATATTCAAAACAAATGTTGCAAAACACAGAAGAAAAATTGCCTTTTCTTGCAAAAACATTCTCTCTGCCTTTAGACAATAGTGGGAAATGTGAAAACAATATACACATACACCAGTGAGGTGATCTATGAGTTTTTTCTTACTGCTCTAACCATCAAAATAGTGTTTTAAACCAGGCTTGGTGGTGCATGCCTGTAATCCCAGTGGTTTGGGAGGCTGAGACAGGAGGATCACAAGTTCAAAACCAGCCTCAGCAATGGTGAGGTGCTTTGCAACTCAGTGAGACCCTGTCTCTAAATAAAATACAAAATAGGCCTGAGGATGTGGCTCAGTCATTGAGTGCCCCTGAGTTCAATCTTCAATAATAATAATAATAATAATAATAGCCTAAAATTACACTATATATAATTTTATACTCTTTTGGACTAGTTGAGATTCTAAGTAAGGTAACAACCCCTATTCATGGGATCCAAATTAATCAGATGAGAACCCCACCCCTGGAGAGAAGCTGAGAAGAAGACCCTAGAAGAGATCTTTTTTGTGTATGATATTTTTATAGTGCAAACCCTGAAGAGCTATCCATAACCTTGGAGCTATACCCCAAAGTGTACAGTTTAGCTTATTAAGTTCTTATAATCGCATTGGAAAAAAAAAACAACTTCATATTAACTTGATACAAATTATTTTGACTAACATTTTTCCCATGAGTTGGATTTATTATTTTTTTAAACTGTGGATCATAACCCTTGAGAAATTATAAATCAACCTAGTCATAACCAATATTAAAACAGAATAGTATGGAATATAGAAAGTATCAGAATATATTAGATTGAAAGCATGGGTCCCAGGTTTGTAGTGTGTGTGTGTTTGGTGGTGGTGGGTGTGCATGTGTATGTGTGAGTATAATGGATAGTAAAAGCAATTTTTTTCTTAATACTTTTATTTTACTTGTATCTGGAAACAATACCTTTATTTTGTTTATTTATTGCTATGTGGTGCTGAGGATAGAACCCAGTGCCTCAAACATGCGAAACAAGCCCTGTACCACTGAGCCACAACCCCCGCTACCTCCACACACACACATACATTTCCCAGGCTCCAAAAGAAATCTTGAAAACTACTGGAAGAAAGCATGGCCAAGAACAGGAATGAGGTAATTAACTAGAACTGATTTTAAACATTGACAGACTGTTTTGACATATCTCTAATAAATGATGATTTATTACCTTGAGAAAATAAAAGTGGGGAGGGCCTTTTTTGATTTTCTATTAGATTGACTATAATAAAATTTTAATGGAGAATAAAAATCATGGGAAATAAAAACACGTTCAACATTTTTAATTCTCACCAATAATTACATTTATTTATTTGTTTATTTATTTTTGTGGTGTGAGGGACTGAAACCAGGGGCTCATGCATGTTAGGCAAGGGCTCTACCACTGAATTATACCCCCACCCAGGTAATAATTAATTATTTGCTCTGTTTAAGAGCATGGTGTCACTTTTTATGTAGTTTCAAGTTCTGTTTTCACTTCATATAATCTTTCATTTGTTTTTACCATAAATATTCTTTTATATCTGAATCTTGATGGTTGCCCAATATTCCAACATATGTTTATTATATAATATCAAATGGTTATTTTGTTTTAAAATTTTCACTAAGAATGGAATATGACTTTTGGAAATTGGATATACTATAACATTTTCCCTTTTTTTGAGATAATTATCCTGTATATAATTTCAGAAATAAAATAGAAATCTAAGAACAAGACCTAAACTATTTTGAAGAATTTTATGTTTCTGACTTCTTTCCAGTTATGAGCTATTAATAAAAATAAATTAAGGTATTATAAGAAAGTTTTGGTTGAAAGAACCCTTATATCTATAAGAACAGTACTATAATCTCATTAGTGAGAACAATGGGCCAATTTGTCACTGATAGAGGATTTTACACCATGTATTTCTTCTTAAGAATTCATACAACAGTTCACATTGCCCTTGAATCTACCTTCACCCTGAATCAAATGATTAGCATAAATCTTTTCATTAATTAGTAAGCTTTTTAATGTATAATATTTTTTAAAATTTTACAGTATGATTTAGACCATGAAAAAACAAAGCTACATATTATTTATGGATTCATAGAATTACAATTGAAGCATAAAGCTTCATAAGCATGATCAACATTAAATCTGCAATAGTAACTATTATTTCCAAGGCCAATGAAGAAATGCAACTTGGTGTATTAGGCAGGACTTTTAAGTTACAGGCAATATTCTATTTCTTTAGGTTGATGGTATGAATAGCAGCATCCATTTCTTTGTAACATTTTAGTCATATTCAGTAGTAATAAAATAATTTAAAGAAAATAAAGTATGAGAAACAAATAATAATAGACTGTATATAAAATCACCAAATGTGCATTTGTAAATGGATATCATAGTTCTGTAAGAGACAGGAAAATATCGTTGCTGCCATTATTCTACTTACTAGTCTTGGAAACAACAGATCAGGATAATTTGTTGAAAATGCATAAAACTGAAGTTTAGAGATATATCTATAGTATTATTACTTTTGCCTTTGAAGATGATTCCATTGTGAAAGAAAATAACTTTCCAAATATAGAAGAAGAAACTTTAATGTTCTCCAAAAATTTATGATACTTCAAAACTCCTTCTTTTAATCTGGACATAGTACCATACTCACTGCTGCTGATTTTTGAAGCATTCTAGTTTTTTAGTGATAACGGATTAAAACAGTTTTTAAAACTTTCTTCTTTTCTTCTTCTTTTTTTCTTTTTAGAAGTACATTTACTTCAGTACAAAGTAATTGTTTGACCTAACCAAAAGGAAAATGCCTAGAAGTAAACATAATAGTGATACAAAATCAAATACACAAAAGCTTTGATTTTTTAAGGAAAAAATATAAGAAAATTAATTCCATGTGTAACAAAGTAGGTAACTGTGATAATATTTTTAAAATGCCTTTTTAATATTAAAGAAAAGATATGCAAGTAAAATTATCATCCTGTCTAAAATATCATAATTGCAAACAATACTATTACTATGAGTTAATTTCATTTTTAGTATTTTCTAACTTCATCCACTAAAAGACTGAAAACCTTATAGCATTGAGCACATCTATTACCTGTACTGTGATCTCTGATGTCATTTCTCACCAGGAAGAAAATTCCTTGGAGAAAGTTCAGATTTTATGCCTAGGAAAAAAAAGATGACAGATAATTCAACAACATCTTAGTGTACCACAGAGCAAGGAAGCTATTTAGGAACGTTGGAGAAAAAAAAAGGTAACAAAAGCCAATATCTAAGTGTATTTTTGAAATGCTTTAAACATGGTATATTTCCTAAAATCTCATGTATGAAACATTGCAAAAATATTCAAAGGTGAAATTATTACACTATGAAAGTTTCAACCTGATCAGTTGGTTTATTCACTTGAATTGATTAACAGAATGGTAACTGTAGTCAGGCAAGGTGTGGCTTAAGGAAGTAGGTCACTGGGAGCATTACTTTGGGGTTTCTATTTTGTTCCCAACAGTTGAGTTCTTTCTCTGCTTCCTGACTGCAATGACTGAGCAGCCTTCCACTGCCACACCCTTCTACCATGCTGTTCTGTCTCCTCTCAGGCCCAGAGCTATGGAGTTGGTTGACCCGTGGACTGAACCTCTGAAATGGTGAGTCAAAATTATCATTTCTTCCTCTAAGATGATCTTGTCAATTTTTTTTTGTCACAGTGACACAATACTGACTAAAACATATTGTTCAATGTACAAATTGAATATAAATTTCAATATGAAAATTTAATATATAAATTTTAGTATAAAAACAAATAATAGGCTGATGTAATGACACACTCCTATAATTCCAGCAGTTCCGGAGATAGAAGTAGGAGGATTGCAATTTTGAGGCAATTTAGCAATACCTTTGCTCAAAGTAAAAATTTAAATAGGGCTGTGGTATAGGTCAGCAGCAGGGAACCACTGGGTTCAGTTCCCAGAACTAATAATATTATTATTAATATCAGTAGTAGTAGTACTACATTGCATGTGACAAACCTCATGATTTTATAAAATTAAAAATGGTATATGCCAGAGAGAAAGAATGAGGTAGAGGAATATATAGAGAGATACAAAGAGGCAGAGAGAGAGAGAGAGAATCAAAGAGAAAATACACTGGATATGATTATAAGAAGGACTCTTCTCTGAAAACAAATAGCAATTAAAAAGTAAGAACTATCCATTTATCTTATCTTTCTTGTATTAATTGCATTTCAGGTTCATTAAATGCTTCTTGTTGATGAGAAAAATTCTTTATTGTCCTGAACTCTATGTAATAAATGAAAGATCAACCCAATTAGAAAAATGAGGAATTTATGTTTCCCTTAGTGGAATAATTTATTCAAATAACAATCATTATTGAGTGAGATAAAAAGGTGATGAAGAAATTTACATGGAGAGATAATTCTATCTTCACATAAAACTGCAAATCAATCTTAGTATCACTATGTTGGTACATCCAGCTCTGTGCCTCCTGAGGCACTATGAAGCAGATGGCTTCACCTTATGAAATATTATTGTCCAAAAAGTTGATACTGAATCTAATAACTCCTCTAGAGCTATTTCAGTTCATAAAAAGGATTGAGAAACATTAAAGAACACTACAGGGGCTGGGGTTGTGGCTTAGTGGTGGAACGCTCTCCTAAGCATGCATGAGGCACTGGGTTCGATACCTGGCACCACATAAAAATAAAATAAAGGTACTGTGTCCATCTACAACTAAAAAATAAAAAAAAAAAATTAAAAATAACACTACAAAGAAGTAAATAATTCCAGAACTTGGGAAATTTTCAGGAAAGTTAATCCAGTTGCAAAAAAGTAAATGCATTAAAAATAGCCATATTTTGTATTTTATTTAGAGACAGGGTCTCAGTGAGTTTCTTAGTGCCTCACCTTAACTGAGCTGGCTTTGAACTCATGATCCTCCTGCCTCAGCCCCCCAAGTTGCTGGGATTACAAGTGTGTGCCACTGTGTCTG